CCAATCACTAGGGGTCTCTACTAGGCCTGGCTGAGGTGCACAGACCGAGGCAGCGGGCGCTCAAATTCCCATGGAAATCCTGAAGACCTGGACCTCACAACCCAGTACATAATTTGTCAACTGTCAAGCTGTCGTAAACACACTCTAAGGGGTGAGAGAGGAGAGGGAGAGAGAGAGGTAGAAGCGAGGCAGAGGAGGAGGCGGAGGAGGTCGAGAGGTACCCATTAACGGCCAACCTGTCCTACCCAGACAGAGGGACCTTTCACATAACAGACAAATGAGCCGTGTCAACAAGAAATATGGGTATCTTCCTGTTGTGTCATTGTACGGCTGGGAAACAGAGGAAGAAATAAGGAGGAGAGCTAGGTAGAAAAGGAGAGAAAGAGAGAGAGAGAGAGAGAGAGAGAGAGAGAGAGAGAGAGAGAGAGAGAGAGAGAGAGAGAGAGAGAGAGAGAGAGAGAGAGAGAGAGAGAGAGAGAGAGAGAAAGCGAGATCGAGTGCTTGTTGTACGAGTAGTGTGCGATATATTTACATAAGAATGTAATACGATAATGCCCGTACCTCAGTGGGTTCGAACCTGCACAGAGCATGGTTGTCTTCGCTAATGAAGACAGAAGCCGGATGGCTTTTCCTTATTTAGTAGAGCAGAGCCAGATATATATTTTGTTTCGCTGTAAATCATAAGGTTATTTGAGTTCATTTATTGTACACCCCATACCCATCTTGTGGGCGGTAGCGGAAAGGGTTACAGAGGCACATAATGGGCTCAAGGACTGAACCCCACAATTCATTTAGCTAAGCTAGTTACAATCTTGATGAGCTAGTTACAAAATTCAGTACACATCGTCACATTAACAATGAGCTCGAGGCCGACCACTAGTTTCTAAATTAAGCAAACTGACATATGTGGAGAGCTATAGTGTCACAATTGATATGTTTGTCCTGCGCACCGTTCCTCCATCCAGTGGACAGCGGTGGATAGGTTACAATCACTGAGTTAATACCTACTTCCTATAACAAGGGGACACTGGTGGAAACTGAGTACCCAAATGAGTTACAGAGACATTAGAAAGAACTTTTTCAGTGTCAGAGTAGTTAACAAGTGGAATGCATTAGGCAGTGATGTGGTGGAGGCTGACTCCATACACAGTTTTAAGTGTAGATATGATAGAGCCCAGTAGACTCAGGAACCTGTACACCAGTTGACTGACAGTTGAGAAGCGGGACCAAAGAGCCCAAGCTCAAACAAGCATAACTGAGTACAACTAGGTGAGTACAGTTAGCAAACTGGGGATATTTGGCTAAGATTTCTGGGGATAATTAATTCCTTGCACTGTAGTGATTTAATCTCATGTTTGCTACACACTCAGTGTAATAACATATTTAATGTAATTAACTGTAGTTATTATATGTAATAACATAAATAACCTATTTTCAGTTAACGGTCAGAAATAATAATGAATAGTATACTATTAACTTGTGCATATTAATATTTATATTTAACTCACTTAAATTAATTACACAGTGCCCGTTTTTACTTATTTACACATTAAATTACATTGTACCATACATTAATTCACCCCTTTATAATCATTAATTTCCTCAGTTTCCAGTATATATATCTTAATTACCCTACTCAAAATGAAATAATTATTCAAGATTATAATAAGATATGATCGATCATGATGTGAACAATCGCGTGTCTTAGATTAATCAATGATTTTTGGGTTGATTTGTTGCATTTAGATACTGAGGGGCGAGTTTATTGGGCAATTACTCATCCCGTGAGTGACCATATACCTCTGTAGAATATGGTATATGGTATACCATATACGATATACCTCTGTAGAAGCATTTAAGAGGGATGTTCTGTTCTGGTTTGATCACCCTTGTCACTTATGTTAACATAAAGGGAACTTTACGTTATAAAATATTACTGTAAAAGTGCCTCTACCTTTGAAAGATTATAGTTTGGTTTTTACCTTAAGAATCATCATGATAAAGTAGCCTTACTTTAAGAATCATAGCAGGAAACTGGGATCTGCAATCAGAAACGTTACTTCAAAGGCCTTGTCATCGATTCCTCTAAATTTAGCTATATTTGTGCATCACCCACCTCCCTCCCTCTCCCTCTCCCTCTCTCTCTCTCTCTCTCTCTCTCTCTCTCTCTCTCTCTCTCTCTCTCTCTCTCTCTCTCTCTCTCTCTCTCTCTCTCTCTCTCTCTCTCTCTCTCTCTCTCTCTCTCACTCTCTCTCTGCCCAAAGTTCACTCCATAGTAGATGGAAAGACTAATAATAACAAAACCAAGAATAAAGTTTGGGATGTATCCCCTGAATGTCAACGCAGGTATTGATTAACGAGGCCACACCCTGTGGGCAGTGATGCCAACTAAGGGACTCCGCCCCTCACTGTGAACAGCGTCGTGATTCTCAAAGCTTTTCATCAGTCGATAAATCTATACTTCTCTGTAACCACATACACTGATGCACCTGAAAGGTGGGGTACAGTGGGAAGTTGTTGCTGAAATACAGTGACACAGATGCGTACAAAGAGAACTACCACGAACCTAACCCAAATATCTAAAAAGTTTTTTTTACAGTAGCTAATGCATGCACCTGATTGTATTATTGATATAGATTGAGTAATGCAGTAAATGACTCTCAATTTTGGAGTTTGCTTTTTTTACGATAATTTGAAATTTAGATTTTGTCCCCAGCACAGCTTATACTTAATAATCTGTACATCATCCTCAAATATTATCCCACAAAAGATTTTTTTGATTCAAAGAAAAATAAAACCTTTTAAAAAACTAATTATTGTGAATAAAAAAACAAGAAATAATCAAATACATGGAATATTTCTACAGATTTTTCAATATTTTTAATTTAATCTGTGACATATGATAAAGTGTGAAGTCATCTAGACTATGTACAATCTGTAGAACTGTTGTTTGTAGAAAGATCAATATTCCAATAGCTTGAAACTGTGGGCCCAAATCCTCCCTTTCAATAGAAACCCAAAAATTCCTCATCTTAGGGGGGGGGGGGGGAGATTTTTCTCTGGTTGAGAACTCCTTCAATACAATTTTATACTTAATTTAGAGATACAATTTTATTGTATCTCTAAATTCCAAATTGTGTGCTTGATTGCATTCGTAAGCCTATTGAGCTTTTATGATTTAGTCTTCAAAATTCTTTTCCATTTTCTCTTTAAGAGAACCGTAACTCTCCCCAAGTCTTAGACCAGTGCCCTAACCTTATTATCAACTCAATATGCTTAAGTGCAGACGAAGCGTTTCCATGCATCATAGTTTTATATCGGTTTATTGAATAATGTCCAAGTTATTATTAATTTAATTAACTTGCTTCCTTTACTACCTCTGTTGACTTGTTAACCTAATAGCTCTTGCTAAGTATTATTATTAAGACATTGACAGAAAATGCCTATATAATTGGCATCCCATTTTTTCTTTGCTATCTGTCTGGTGACGTGATTCTGCTTTAGATTTCAATGGTTGGTCTCTCCAATATACTGAAGACATCAGAGAGAAACCTGTTGCATAGGACTTTGCTTTCAACGCCGTCTGATTCAAAAAGTCTGTCTAGTTTTCCTTTTCAATTATTCTTACTTGATCGATCAAATTATTTGTAAATAATCTAGAGCCATACTTTATTCGCCAAAATATTCCCCCTTATTATTTTCATTAATAGCCTTTACACTCATGTTCATTCATTTAGAGTCATTATAAATGAATATTAAAGATAATAATAGACTAGTATGTTCCCTTATATGTTAATAAAACACAATTAAGTGTATTATTATAATTAATATTCATATTCATCTACAACATAATATGATCTCAAGTTACCTATTGTTGGGATGGCTTCTCCTCCCACGGGCTACCCATCCTTTGTTTAATTAATGACGGGGCATCTCTGATAGCAAGGTGTAAAACTTGCTCCTACAGTGCTAACCAGCAAACCAGTGAAAACAACGCTCCTGGCAAACTCATGAACAACTTGGCACGATGAAACACCCAACTTCTCACAGATCTTATTGCTCATGTTTCTGGTGGATTACTGTGAGAACCGAACTCTTTTTCTCCCGACTGACTCTCCTACAAAGAAAATGTCTCAAAACTAAATTACATAAAGAGATAATTGCGTGGCTAGATCAGAGAAGCGATTAGAAGGTCGTCCAACAATTGTGGATAATTTATGTCAGTTGCTAACTTCTCCCAAGGACAGTGGACATGATTCAGAGTTATTTTTTTAATTTACAAGCACTTGTTTATCAATATTACCTTAATAATGTGCAAGTATGCATGATTGAGATGAATTGTTTGAAGGGGGTCAGGAAATTCTACAGATGGTACAAGTGCACATCATTACATCATCATAGCAACGTATCACATCTTTCTTCACTATTGTCAATAAGAATTTGTATATTTCTATCCAAAAAATTATTACTAGTTGTAGCAATAATTCCATGAACATTCATTATCATATGAGTATTTTTTTTAATCTGTGAAATGACAAATGGATTGAAATAACTTAATTTAAAAAAGAAATATATGAGTACAGGACACTAACAATTTTCCAGATGAGTATACGGTATATGATAGCTTTTTGTCGTCATCTTTCTGTAATCTCTATATTTATAAATATATATATATATAAATATATATATATATAAATATATATATATATTTATAAATATATATATATATATATATATATATATATATATATATATATATATATATATATATATATAATATATATATATATATATATATATATATTTATATATATATATATTATATATATATATATATATATATATATATATATATATATATATATATATATATATATATATATATAAATCTTAAATCTGAAGCTCGACCGGTATTTTTTTAAAGGTTTTTAGTGAGTCTTGTTGCCATGGGGATGCGGCAACACTGAGCGAGACACGAGTCAGCTCAACAAACACTGCAC